TTGGTCACGAGGATGTTCAGAAGGGTTTCCTTCTGATCCTTTTGTACATCCTTGTTGAGCGGAAGGAAAGCCTTCTGGTCAACAAGGTCGATGTACCTCCCTGACCAGAAGGGTTTCCTTCCAGTCAACGAGGTAGATGTACCTCATTGACCGGAAGGAAACCCTTCCAATCGATGAGGTACATCTACCTGTTCAACCGGAAGGAAACCCTTCCGGTCAAGACTCATGGGGGCAGTACCCGGGTACATCCCCTTTTTTTGCCAAAAAACCGGCACCTGGCACCGCCTGGCGGGTGCGAGGCGGGTGCGGGCGGTACCCGCCGAGCGGTACTAGGTACCTAGCAACAGGTACCGACAAACAATCTCTAGGGTGAAGTGGTGCAGAATAGGTCTCAATGAATGAATATGAAAAAATAAAGTTTCAGAATCTGTGAAAAATAAAATATAAACATATTTTTTTTTTCAAAAAGCTCTGATATTCATTTTGGGGGAGTGGGAGCTCTGGAAGAAAAAAAGAATGGAACATGGGAAGAATGACTATAAATGAAAATTTTGTAAAAAAAATGGTCACCAGGTGGTTTCAAACAACTGTTGAGTAGCACATTCACCAGCACATGTTGTGGAAAAGCACTAGAATTTACTGTTTTGACTCCAATCTGAACAACCAACCTGGCTCAAACTTTTTTGGTTTCATTTTTTTTTCATTTATAATCATTCTTGCCATGTTCAACTCTTTCTTTCTCTCAGCACTCCCACTCCCCCAAAATCAATAACAAAGCTTTTGGAAAAATCACATTTTTATTTTTTATTTTTCACAATTTTTGAAACTTGGTTTTTTGTTTTTATTTCTTCATCTTAATTTTCTGGGACCTATTCTGCACCAATTCACCAAGTCTTGTGACTTGAAGTTTGTGCTTTGAAGTTGTAGAATCCGAAACAAGCAGCCAAAAATAACGGTCCACCCACTGTACAGTGGGATGTAGACATTGAAAATTGGCTGCTTATTTTGAATTAGAGATGGCAATGGGTACCCATTTGCAGGTACCTGTTCTCTGGAGCGGGTACCTGCCCGTGGGTGCTGGGTGTGGGTGCGGGTGTCGAATTTGGGACAAAAAATGGCGGCCACCTTGACACCCGTCCTGCCACCCTCCCTGGGAATGCAGATTTGGGTGTGTTGGGCTGCATCAGGGTCTCAGCCACCCATGTAGGACACCAGTTGGTGGCCTACATGGGCCTGTTGAGGCCAGAGGGAACCCTCTGGCCTTCGAGACTGTACACTGTCTCAATGGCTGGAGGGATTCCTCCGGTCATTGAGACTTTACAGTCTTGTGGACCCCAGATATGAGGTTTTCGCCTCATTGATCGGAAAGAATTCCTTCCGGTCATTGGGTTTCAACCCCATTGACCGGAAAGAATTCCTTCCGATTGATGAGGTGGAACAGCCTCATTGACCAGAAGGAATCCCTTCCGGCCGATGAGGCCCATAGACCCCTCCACACCCACAGGTACCCGGCCCAGGTACTCGGGTACCCGCCCTGGCAGACCTGGCGGGTGCGGGTGCAAGTGCGGGTGCAGGTGTCCAAAAAAAGCGATTTTTGAGGCGGGTACCCGGGTTTGAAGTGACATCTCTATTTTGGATTCCAGAGC